TTGATGAATCAGATTATTTGAGGAAAATTAATCACCTCATTGAACTTTGGATGAGTTTTGTAATGATATTTTTCAGAAGCGAAGAAGCACCAGTTTTGAAAGCCTCAAATAGATTGACAATATTATTCCGTAACTTTTGAATCTCATCGATTTTGACCATCAATCTGTATAAATTGTCCGAAGCATCACTGGGTGATTCACAGACTGATTCAAGGTATCGTCCAAGTAGATAAATATAACTATATTGTTCCAGTCTAATGATAATAAAAAGAAAAGGTTATTAAATTTTGACTAAAGCAATTGTTTTGATTGATAAAATCTAGCGCATTTCAAGTTATTCATGGTTTTAGTCGGTTGAACATTCACCTAACAACATCAACGTATTTCAAATTAGGTAGATCAGGATTGAAGATGACAATTAGATAGATGAGAGCAATAGCTTTGAGATCATTTCTCCATCGATCTGGAAAGGTTTCGATAACATGTTTCAATCCATCGTGTGCTTCAGGGTTTGAATGAAAAACATCCACCCTGTCAAGTCTTGCCCCAGAACACTGTAAAGAAAAGAATGGTTGGAATTATAAATGGATTGACCAACACTACCACAATGGGATACTCACGTTGAAGCTGTCGGTCCGATGGTCATATGTGATTATACCCTTCATTGCATTGATATCAAAAAATACATTGGATAATAAAGTTATTTTATCTTCAGCATGTAATTTCCTGTAAGCTCGAACCTTCTCACAGGTTCCAACAAACTCTGTTGGACGAGGATCAGGTTTCACCTGATTTCGAAGTGAAATTGTCACATTACTTGAAGCAATATTGTGAAAGGCATTAACTGCTTCCTTCACCGCAAGTGATTCAAATTCATCCAAGATTATTCGATTTGACAAAAATTCTGATTTAATATTCAATGGAGAGTAATAAGTAGCCAATATCTTCTTTCCAACACTGGGGATCCAGGGTTCCTTCAATTTTGAGTTGTCAACATTCAATGAAAGTATCTTTTTGAATTTATCACTTGCAGTCTTTGAGACAGGCGACTGTAAATCATAACAGTCATTTTTAAAAGGTTCATTTGTTTCAATCTCATCGTAAGACTCACAAGTTGATGTTGAAGGTGCCTCCAGTGGAAAAGCAAAGTTAAACAGATCTGTCGATGGAGACCCGATCAGATCAACCGTTAAGCTATCTGAAAAAATGCCAATCCAATCTGATGAAATGCATGATAAGGTTTCTTGTTGAATGGATTGTTGATTGTGGGTTTCACTGTTTGAAACACAACTCAGTAATGGATCGTTGTGAACTGTATTATCTGTTGAATGATTCCTCGAAGAATCGTCCAAATAAGATCGCAGAGTATCATCATTGTAAGAGAAAACATTTACTGTTGACTCCGAGTGGAATGGCAATGAAGTCGCTTGATCTGTATAGTCCATTGTTAGATGATCAGTCAAACATGATTCACCATGAACAAATTGGTTTAAATCTACAAAGTCCATTCTTTTATTTTAATTTAATAAACAAATTAACCTAGCGTTTTAAAACATATAATTTTTAAAGGTTGATGCACATTAAACGATCACTAACTAATGATGTTTACTTTGATCCTGAAAGACAAGACAATCTTGAATGATGTTCAAGGGGAGCTTATCTTCCTTGTTTAGTTTGCGATCTTTGCACTTTGCTTAATGATCACAACACTGAAAAGTATTACGTCTTTTTTGGTTTACATGATTGAGTACAGCACAGAGATATACAATCGCAAATAATAACCGATTTTTCATCATCTATGAAAAGACTATTTTTACGAAATGCAAAGCAATTAGGTTTTAACGCTATTGTCCATTCAACATATAAATATCAGAATAACGGAAAGAGGGTAAAATCAATGCAACTGGCTAGCCTAACAAGGGAGACTCTCGAATTGGTAAATCGATAATTGGTTATGATTGATTTTTTTAGTTATAACAAGTGAAGCGATTTTAAAGAAGCGAAAATAGTGAAACATTGACAAAATATTATTAAATTATCTGATTAATGTTGGTGTCGCTAGAGCAATAGTCAACGATATTGTAGCCAGTGTAGTAACGCAAGTTGGTGTGATAACAAAGAGGTCCAGGAAAGTAAAGCCAACATCAGCACGTTCAATACGAGCGAGGAAAATGTGAACCTGATTTTGGTAGATAAACAAGAAAAGATGAATAAATAAAAATGATTGAATTTAATAATTACCTCTTTATTTGCAAACAATGAATCAGTTTTAAATGTAAGTGAATAAACTGATTGATAAATTCGGGTTGAAAGGTGATTAATATAGACCATATAATAGGTTATGAGGATAAAATTTGCGATTTCCACCAAACTCATTATCAAAGTTACAAGCGATGGAGCCGAAATTGCGAATACAAACGAGTAATGACTTTTAACGGTACTGATCACAAAATAAAGAGCTGTAATTGGCATGAATAAATAATTAAACTTTTCTGTCGTTTCAACGGCAAAGCAATACAATCGACGAACTTTCCGAATGTCATCGATAGACAAGGCACTTGTTGACTTGTTCAAGGTTTCTATTTGGTGTTCAACTCGCATGAAACAGGTATGAATGTAAAGACAGCCTTCAATAAAGAAACGAAGGAAAGCAAAGTAACACGAGATACCAACAAGTGCTGCACCAAAATAAGTAACAAGAAAATAAGTCAATGACATGTCAAAAGCGTTGCACCAAACCCCATATGTCAACCAAACGAAAAATAAAAAATGGATGAAAGTGTATATTTGAAAGATTATGCGATTCTTATTTAGATAATTAACTGATAAAGGTGTCAACTCGATATTTGTCTTGCGTTCAAAATGAATCATAAGATCGCTGTATTTTTTCCTACGAACACAAATTAGAACAAGTAAGAAAGCACAGGTCCATTGTCGAATAGCAAGTATTACCACACGTGTAATATGATAAGTGCCCGAAAAAATGTAAAGATCTCTGAAACATATTAGACCATCAAACGCAAGTGCAAATGCGATGATTAGAATGATAACTTTTCGATCAGACAGAAGCGCCCAAGTAATTATTCCGGCTTTTGAAGAGCGATTCAGTACATTCTCATTGGATCTATCCATTTCGTTGAAACTTTTTTCAATATTTATCTCACGTCAGTTTCACGAACTGCTTTTCAACCGTTAGATTCGAGACAAACTGATCAAGTGAAACTCGCACGATTTCCAATGAATCGGGTTGAAGGGTGTTGTGTCTAACTAAGTTAACTTCCTATTGGTTGATTAGTACCAGAAATCATGCACAATAAACAATCGTAAACAATAAGCAAATACAATAGCACATTAGATGACACATGGAAAAGT